GAAATTAGGCTTGTAATGAATCATTTGACTCTGAGAGAGTTGTCTCTTATTTTTAACTACAATAGCACTGTAGCACTGTCCTCCTGTTGTTCATTGATTTGCTAGAGTGTGCACCAGTAACATCTTCACTGTGAGACACATTGTTACTGTTTTTGGCATATCGAATTTTTGGCATATCGAATAAGCCACTTGCTTGCCAGACTCTGCCATGTGGGCAGTTTACTCTCCATAGCTTGCTGGGCTCTCCGAGAGGGACGGAGGAATCAAAATCAAACCCAGGTCGGCCTCATGCAAGGCAAAGACCCTACCAGCTGTGCTATTGCTCCAGCCCTACAATAACAATAGAAAAATTTAGACTTGCTTCATCTTTCATTTTCACAAACTTGAGATCATAAAGATTTGACAGAAGGACATATGGAAAAGTATCCAGACTAGCAGAGGCAGCCAAAGTCTGCTCAGACTCAGCACCTGGCTCTCAGCAACCCCTCAGTATGGCTTATTGCATTGGCCCACTGATAGTTGCACTTGGTGTCTTTTTCTTAAATTCAACCACTGCATACAATGTCCTTGCCTGTCTTTGCCACACAAAAGATAAAGCTCTACTTGTCTAAACCCACACATATCTCTGAGCTGCAATATTTCGAGGTACAGTGAGTTGCAGCTAGAAACAATATTTGCTCATCTGTCTTTCCTAGACGGTCCTTTGGGGAGCACTGAGCAAGAGTATTCTTATGATGCAATGAGGAAATAAAATAAATAAAGGGAAAGAAAGAGCTGAGGAAGCTACACTGTCCTTCAAAAATAGCAATATATTGTGTCAGAAAAAAAAATTAATTTCTTGCTACTACTTCAAACAACCTATTCCCATGTAGCTTCAGACCACATCTTAATGTGGTTAAGACTTCAGACAAGACTTAATGTGTCTTACTCTCGCCACACTCTCAGAATAGCTTGTGTGTGTGCATGCATGTGTGTCTGTGTGTGTGTGTGTTTAACAAGCCATTTGTCCAGAAATACTAAAACTAAAATGGCCTGTCTGCCTTTAGGTGCTTTTAGCTGCACAATAGCTGCTTTTAGCAAGCCAGATATCCACAGTTAAGCTGTGCTTGCAGAATTTTTCTCCTTAAAGTGCAGTCAATTGACCATGGACCAGCACTAATTTGTTTCTAACCAGAAAGGCAGTGTACACAGGCTGCCCTGGACAAGTAATTGCGACTATCATGGCCAGGGTGCACTTTTTATTCCCAGCAAAGAGACATTTAAATGCGGCGATTTACCTCAGCTTCAAGCCACACATCTCTGAACTGCTTTCTTCCAAAGGCCGATTTTCCATTTGTCCTGCATTAAGTTTTATTCTTCCTTCAAAATTAAGGCTTGCTCTCGGAAAGGAATTCTGCTCCTATGACAGAACTTGTCTGCCCACAAAATCCTGTGGAAGCATTATGTTAATGCCCTAATGAAATGATAATATGTCTAGCCTTGATATAAACTATTCTTTATAATCCTCTTAAAGTAGCATCTTTATTTATAATTTTATTGGACACTCACCGGTACCTTAAAGTTCCATCTTAAATTCCAGCGCTGGAGGGGAGTTGATAGATATAGGATGTTATTAGATTTCTTTGGGCATTCATTCAGAATTCAGCCAGGTTTTTCATAATATTCTCCATCCTAAGAAACTATAATTATCCTCAAGCACACTACTTACACTGTCTTATTTCTTAATTACAGTAGTGACATGAGATAATGCATACTTATTAGAATCAAATGCATATTATTTTGTAGTGATCATAAAGAAGTTCTCATGACAACAATTGCAATTACATGGTCATCAACTACTGATATTATGCTATGTTCTAGAAGTTTGTAATTAAGTCCTGCCAAGAGGTCATTTCCAATTTGAAAAAAAGAAAAAGAAAAAAGAATTTAAGAGCAAAATACTTGCCAATGTAAAAATCAGTGATAGAGAAGGCCTGAGCCCTTTGTAAATAATTCTTCATGAATCTCAAGTAAGAACATCGTGTCAACTAACATTTGGGGGATTGGGCTTAAATTTCTATCTAAATAAGCTATCTTAAGAATATTCTTTAAAATAGCCCTTTTTCTTGCTTTTTTTTTGACCTTTAGAATAAAAAGCATTGAGTACACCCCAGGGGAGAAATTGGGCTAGAAATATGATAGAAGTGATTCTGCCCTCAAAGATAAATTTGCAGTCCATCAATTGCATTCTTTTCAAGTACTATAAATTATTGTCTTAAAAGTTTTCATTTAAGATTCCAAAAATAATTTATCTTCTGTCATACCAGTTTAGAAAAATAAAAATGAAAACAGTGAGTTGCCCAGAGAGTGCACACATAGATTTTTTACTCTCTTCTTTGGAAAGATCCTCTATTTTTAATTTCCAAAAAGGGAAATGGGAAAAAGTGATGAATGTCAAAATCAACATTTTTGGGTGGGAAAATCAACATGTCTCAGAGGGTGAAGCTGCCGGGTTCATCTTATGTTGAACTTGACCATTTAATTGTCTGGCTCTTCATTTAATTGTCTGGCTGTTCATTATCAGCCAGGTGTAGAACCAGACAGGTCCCACGAATTGCCTAACTGTACCTGCTCCTTTGCCTGTGAAAAGTAAGACAATAACTGTATAAGAAAATTGTTTTGATTGTCACTATTTCATTATTTCATATGTGTAAAGAGCATAGATTTGCACTTTGCACACAATGAGTACCACATACTCTGGGTATTATTTTATGATTTTATGTCATTTCAGATTAGTAAGGACAATGGATGGGTCTGTCTCTGTCTCTGTCTCTCTCTGTCTCTCTGTCTCTCTGTCTCTCTCTCTCTCTCTCTCTCTCTCTCTGTGTGTATCTCTTTCTCTCTCCCCCTCTCTCCTCCCTACCTTCAACCACAGCAACGAGTGTCTCCAAATATTTTATCAGATTTTTTTCAGAGATCTTCCCTAGCATGTTAGTATGACACATTAAAAAGGAATGCTTTTTTCCATTGTAAAAAAAAGACATTCAGTGATCCTGATATCCATAACTTATGATTTATACTACCTTGCCAGATTAATGCTGCTTGTTTGTCTAAATTCTGGCTCATGCCATAGATCTATTACTTTAAGACAAAAGTTGTCATCTTTTGGCATTTACAGTTATCTGGTGTTGTATTCAGTCTTGGGAACAAAGTTGTGCAGAATATAACCTTGTCTGCATGACTGCCGATCCTAACTAGATTGTCAGGACTTGATACTTGAATGGTTGCTACAAACCCAATTTTATTTCTAAAATAACTCACATAAGCACACCAAGAAACATCAGTGCTTGGAAGAGCACCAGTGAATAGCCAGACAAATTGAACCATGTAACACTTGGCTTTCCTTCAATATGCTGGATCACATATATTATGTTTTTGGTTATTTTTACCCATTAAAAATTTAATGAAATTATTTCTAACAGTATATGGCTCTTTTATAATGAAGCTAATGGTATATTTAATTACACTACTTTAATTTTGGGAAATATTTATAGATTGCTTAAGCAGTAAGCGATACAATGAATTTTAAATAGATTATATATCGTTAAAAATTATGTATTCCATTTTTATGAATTATTTAATAGTCTCTGCTTATTAGATTATACAAGTTTTCACTTATTTAGTATTTTTTTAATTCCAGTTGCAAAACCTGATGGAATGTATATTACATTTTACCTGTAATCAAATTCAAATTAGAGTTACTTTTTCAAAAGCCACCCATCAAGAGTTCACTTTTTCTAAGTCTCTGATCCCCAAGAATACAATACCCAGTTGTAAAATATTTTAGAGTTAATATTGGAATAGGAAAATTTGTGAAATGATTAATGAGTTAGGCAGAGACTTTGGCTAAATGCAATTAGTTTTCATGCAAACATTAACTGTTTATTGTTATCAAAGCTGTTTATTAATTAGACTGCAAAGAAACAAGTTTCTTTGAGTCTAATTTTATTTCAACTGGTTTTCCATTTCAACCAGTCTATAACAGAACAAAATTTGGAACAGTTGTTTAATTTAAGAACTTATCCTACTCTGGTTCTTCATTAATCTGAAAATTACTACAACATTGGTCTTGATGGTAGTAATTCCAAAAGAGGGAAAAATGTCTCTGGAAAGTAATACTAGGTTCATGCACAGAGAGGAGATGCCAATCCCAATTTCTATTTTAATTTTCACAATGACTTTAAAATAAACATTCAAGTTTATATGGCTTTCCTCTTTATTAGTCTGTGCAAGCTGCCAAAATAAGCTACCCCAGGTGAAAGGAGTTTAAGCAATGGATAATTATTTTTTTCTACATTCTGGAAGCTAGAGTTGTGTGTTCTGAGGTGTGTGGCTCCACAAATCCACTTTTCAGTGAAATATCTCTTCTTAGCCTCCTGAATCTGTGCTTCCTCTCTTGGTCTCTTCTCTGAATAGTGTGGAGATGGGAGAACATAAATGGGAACAAGAGAGAGAGAAGAAGAGAGAAAGAGAGGGGGGGAGAGAGAGAGAGAGAAAAAGAAAGAAAGAAAGAAAGAAAGGAAGGAAGGAAGGAAGGAAGGAAGGAAGGAAGGAAGGAAGGAAAGAAAGAAAGAAAGAAAGAAAGAAAGAAAGAAAGAAAGAAAGAAAGAAAGAAAGAAAGAAAAAGGTGGTTGTTTGTTGTCTCTTCCTCTCCTTGAAAGATTTCCAGTCAATCAGGTTAGGACCCACCCTTTCATATTCATTTAACCAATTGCCTTTAACCAAAAGATCCAATCTCCAAATATTGTTTTGAAGCTTGAATTTGATACTGGGTATAGGGGATGGGGGGGGGGGGGGCAGGTATGGGGTTGGGGGATTCAGTTTAGCACACAGCCCTACAGCAAATGATCATGGTGAGTCTCAGGAAATTCCAAGGTGAGATTAGATGCTTTCTAGAGCACTTGTCACTTTCTGAGTTTATGCAGAGGAGACTTTGATGGTCACTCTCACTTATCTTTCAGATCAGCATATTCATGACCCACTTGTCGAACTATGGGAACGACCGCCTGGGCTTATACACTTTTGTGAACTTGGCCAACTTTGTGCAGAGCTGGACCAACCTGAAACTGCAGACTCTGCCTCCCGTGCAACTAGCCCACAAGTATTTCGAGCTCTTTCCAGAGCAGAAAGACCCTGTCTGGCAGGTAACATTAAACATTCTCTCCTGAGTGGGCAAGGAAAGAAACTTGCCATTTTGGATGACTAAGTTGTGCTAGGAAGTGCGACTGGAAATATTAAGACTGGAATTTAACACACATTTTCTTCTCTGATTGTTCATTGTCCTCCTGTAGAAATTTTGGTTGTATAGATTATTTGTACTTGGGGCTTGTATCTTGGAGAGTTTGTTCATTAAGTCACAACTTTTGCATTGAGGTTATTGGTTTATCGTCGCTACCTGCTTAGAGTAAATCAGTTCGACTCACATTTGGCGTGATTTAAGTTAGCAATAAAATAGGCATGGGTAGTTAAGAAGCCAGAAACGAAGCACCACCTTACTCTATCATTTGTAGTCAGACCCTGGTTTATATGTGCACAGCACAGATTGTGTAAGCACCAGGGAGAATGAATTTTTGCCTTCTACTCAGAGAGAATCCAATTCTCTTGAGTATATATTTTCATTTTTAAAAAATGAATTAATCTTTCACAAGGATCAGGCTTGTTAATTATTTTGCTCTGTTTTAGGCTTTATACAATTGGTTCAACTTCCATATGAGAACTACTCAGCATCAATGCATGAACTATAACTTATCTACTTCTGAGCAGTTACCAAGCAAAATGCTACCTCCCCCCTTCTCCTTTATCATCAAATGACATTGCCCCACATAATCAACCATGCTGTATGCAGAGTGCAGATCAGATAGTTCCCTGCTAAGCAGTGAAAGGTTACATCGCCATTCATGAGAAATCACTGTGAAACTGACTTCTTTACCTAGTCTCTCCTCAAGACTATTTGTTTCTCCTTATACCACCAATCATATTACATGCCACTATCTATCTCAATAGACATCGATACACATATGTTTGCTAACGTCTAAAAATATGCAGTGCAGGGCTAGCTGCATTCTCAGAAATGTGGAAGAAAATTAAATATAATATCTTCTTTAAAATTCAATGAAAAAATTACTTTACTATCATAGATTTCAAAATGTGTTTTAAAGTTGCTCTAACAGGTCACACTTTAGATTGATGATTATTCAGCACCCTTTCGGGGGTTTGTTGAACTATGTATTTTAATGCATTTATACTTCTGGTCATTTGTTTTATCATTTTTATGTTTGATATTTAAGTTAGAATGACAGATAAATATATAAGAAGATTTTTATTAGTAGTGTAGACAGTTGCACCAAATAGATGTTGAATTTCTTGAAGGCAAAACAATGTGTCCACGGGCACAGAGGCCCAGCTCTGGGCAACAAAGCTGAACGGCTCCAATTCCAACAGGTACAGCCCGCCACCAAGGGCCTGGGTCCCTCTCTGGGCACGCGCAGCTAGAACCAGCCCCTAGAAAGCCGGTTTTCAACCCCTGATCTGCGTGGGACGGGCACAGAGGCCCAGCTCTGGGCAACAAAGCTGAACGGCTCCAATTCCAAACAGGAGACATTCCCAACTCCTCGCCCAGTGCCAGGGTCTCTTTCCGGAGCCGCGGCCGCTAACGCGGCCACAAAATATTTTCCTACTACATATGCCATAGGAACCATAAGCTACCTTCTTAGATGGAAACTTCTCTATTTTAGCTCAGCCACTAGAAACACAGTAGCCAATAACTCATAAGCCTATCATAACTCACACTGCATATCAAGCAGAATAGTAACAGTGAACGTGAAGGGCTAAACCACACCTCTCACAATGGTAAAGCAACGCAAAAGCCCACCAAACTTTCATATTGAAGAGTCTAGCCCAGATGACACCAACAGTACTGTAGTGTTAGACAACCTCTCTGACAAGGAATTCAGAAGGGAGCTACTTAGGATGCTTAGGGAATTAAAAGAAACAATGGAAAGCAATGACAATAGAAGACAAGAGGATCTGAAGGCAGAAATGAGGAAAATGCAATCAGAAATGTCAGACCTGAAAAATCTCGTAGGCGAATTGAAAAGCTCAGTGGAAGGCCTCAGCAGCAGAGTAAGAGCAGCTGAGAACAGAATCAGTGAGCTCGAAGATGAAGTTCAGAGACTCTCCAGAAAAGAGCAGAAAATGGAAAAGAGACTCACAATTCGGGAACAGATGGCAAGAGAAGATCGTGATGAAGCCAAGAGGGGTAACATAAGAATTATTGGAGTCCCAGAGGGACAGGAAGAAAACCTCGATGAAGAAGAAACTGTCAAAGACATCATTGCTACAACATTCCCAGAGCTGAAGAAAACTTGTGACCACATTCAGGAGGCCCGAAGGGTACCAGCTAGAAGAAATCCGAATAAAAATACCCCAAGACACATTCTGATCAAAATGATCAAAACCTTAGACAGAGACAAAATTCTGAAAGCAGCAAGATCGAAGAAAGAAATCTCTTACAAAGGAGCATCCTTAAAATTCACAGCTGATTTTTCTGATGAAACCCTCATGGCCTGAAAACAGTGGTGGGACATAGTAAAAGAACTCAATGAAATAAATGCCTCCCCAAAAATACTTTTCCCAGCAAGACTCTCATTCATAATAGAAGGAACAACACACAGTTTCACAGACAAACAACAGCTCAGGAACTTGATAGACTCAAAACCATGGTTACAAGAACAACTAAATGGGCTACTTTAAGGCAAGAAAGGCCCCTCAAATACAACAAATTTTAACAGAACAATGGGACAAAATCCCATAACAATAATCTCTCTCAATGTCAATGGGCTAAACCCACCAATTAAAAGACATAGAGTGGCAGGATGGATTAGAAAATTGAACCCAACATTCTGCTTCCTGCAAGAAACGCATCTCAATAGTCAAAGCAAACACAGACTCAGAATCAAAGGCTGGAAAACAATCCTACAGGCGAACAGCTCCCATAAAAAAGCTGGGACCTTATATCAGACCACATCGATTTCAGAGTGAGGAAGGTCATAAGAGACAGTGAAGGCCATTTCTTATTGATCAAAGGATCTGTACAACAGGAAGAACTTACAATAATAAATGTATATGCACCTAATGAGAGACCAGCAAAGTACTTAAAACAACTACTCATAGATTTGGAAAAAGACATCAATAACAACACAATACTAGTGGGAGATTTCAACACTGCTTTGTCACCTCTTGATAGATCAACCAGACTCAAGCTTAGCAAGGACATACTTCATCTGAGGGAAACAATGGAAGAAAGGGACTTAGTAGATATATACAGGACACTTCATCCACAAAAAGCTGAATACACATTCTTCTCAAGCGTACATGGAACATTCTCCAAGATAGACCACATGCTGAGCCACAAAACATGCCTCCATAAAATTAAGAAGGTAGAGATTGTACCAACAATCTTCTCAGACCATAATGCGCTGAAATTAGAAGTAAATCACACACAAAAACAGAAAACTAAATCAAACACCTGGAAATTAAACAGTGCACTATTGAACAACGAGTGGATTAGACAGGAAATCAAAGAGGAAATCAAAAGATTCCTAGAAACGAATGAAAATGAGAACACGAGTTACCAAAACTTATGGGACACAGCAAAGGCTGTGTTAAGAGGAAAGTTTATAGCTCTACAAGCATTCCTCAGGAAGGAGGAGCGAGCACACATAAGTAACCTAACCTCACAGCTTAAGAGCTTGGAGAAGGACCAAAAAAAGGAGCACAACCCGAACAGGAGAAAGGAAATAATAAAACTCAGAGCAGAGATTAACGAGATGGAAACCCAAAAAACAATCTGAAAGATCAATGAAACCAAAAGCTGGTTCTTTGAGAAAATTAACAAGATCGATAAGCCTCTAGCAAAACTCACAAAGAAAGGGAGAGAGAAAACCCTAATAAACCGAATCAGAAATGAAAAGGGGGTCATTACAACAGAAACCACAGAAATTCAGAGGATCCTCAGGGAGTACTTTGAGAAGCTTTATGCCACGGAACATCAAAACCTCGAGGAAATGGATAAATTCCTAGACTCCTACAGACTCCCAAGGCTGAACCAAGAAGACTTGGAATACCTGAACAGACCTATCACCATCAAGGAAATTGAAATGGTAATAAAAAGTCTCCCCGAGCACAAAAGTCCTGGCCCGGATGGATTCACTAGTGAATTCTTCCAAATCTTTAAAGAGGACTTACTCCCGATGCTCTTTAATCTTTTCCACGAAATTGAAATATCAAAAACACTTCCGAACAGTTTCTACGAAGCAAATATCACACTGATACCAAAAGCAGACAGAGATACCACAAAGAAAGAGAATTACAGGCCGATATCCCTGATGAACACAGATGCAAAGATCCTCAACAAACTACTAGCAAATAGAATCCAACTACTCATCAAAACGATCATACACCATGACCAAGTAGGATTCATCCCAGGGATGCAAGGATGGTTTAACATTCGGAAATCAATCAACATAATCCACCATATCAACAAAAGAAAAGATAAAAAGCATATGATCATATCAATAGATGCAGAGAAAGCATTTGATAAGATCCAGCACCCCTTTATGATGAAAACCCTAGCCAAAATGGGTATAGAGGGAACCTTCCTCAACATAATTAAAGCCATCTACCACAAGCCTACAGCAAGCCTCATCCTCAATGGGGAAAAACTGAGAGCCTTCCCTCTAAGATCAGGGATGAGACAGGGATGCCCACTCTCTCCACTGCTGTTCAATATAGTACTGGAAGTACTTGCAATAGCGATTAGGCAGGAAAAAGATATTAAGGGCATTCAGGTAGGAAAGGAAGAAATCAAGCTCTCACTATTCGCAGATGATATGATACTCTACTTAGAGAACCCAATAACCTCCACCAAAAAACTCCTAGAAACAATAGACTCGTATAGTAAAGTTGCAGGTTATAAAATCAATATCCAAAAGTCCATGGCTTTCCTATACGCAAACAGTGAGAGAGAAGAAAGCAACATGGAAAAAACAATCCCGTTCACAATTGTGCCCCAGAAAATCAAGTACCTAGGAATCAGCTTAACTAAGGAAGTAAAGGACCTGTACAAAGAAAACTACAAAACGCT